TATATACTAAAAGAATTATATCAATAATTCATTTTTAAATGATAAAAATTAATTAGTAGCTTTATTATACCTCAGGTCCATACACCTCTAATGCACTGGGATAATATCGTTTATCTTCATGCAATACTACTGCCATAGAAGATCCTTGTTCCACTTGTTCTCGTGACTCATCCTTATCTTCTTCCATTTCTTCATCCGATCGTTCTCTATCCTCGGTGTCATCACCAACATTGCCATACTCATTTTCATCTTCACTTTCTGATGCCAGATCAGGACCAATATAATTTCCAAACTCATCATATAAATCCGCGTCCATGTTGATATTTACATAAACTTGATTTCAGTATCTATATACAGAAGAATATTTCCTATAATACCTGATTTAAATTTTTCAAACTTATTTTTTTCGTTTTAATTTGTATAAAAGTTCTATTAAACATCTTTTCGTAAATGTACGAAATGTAACATAACCTAAGTTAAAATTATGTATTTCATGTAAATTCACATTTGATATGCATAATTGTTCTCTATATTTTATATTATTATTATTATTAATATACACATACAATTACAAAATGATAAACATCAATACATTCAATTATATGCGATTTATTTTACCCGGCACAAACTGACATGCATACATTCTGCAATTCAATGGACGCGTTCAAGTCAGGGCCACCAAACTACCATGGTTTTTCTGTTATCAGCATTTGTGGCGCTCTCATAGCTGACATAGGAAATGAGAAACTAACATTCAATATGGCTGTCATCGTTTCCGACACATTCCGATCGGCATTTTTATCGTCATGTTTGCTACGTGTTGCTCGATGTTGCTATGTTTGGTCAAAGCACTTCCGAAAATTTAAAATATTCTAATAGCATTTTTGTTTGCATAGCAGTTGTTGAAATGAGAGGAAAGGAAAGATTCTGATTAGTTGATTCGCTTATGCACTATACATACGCAAAAGTCTGTGCTGCGGCTTTTATCCAATCGCATTTTTCCTATCGGATTCATCGGAATATACGGTTTCTGATAGGTTAAAATCATTATACCTTATTTCTAATTCCTTATAGCTGCTATTGTGCACAGGGTCTTATATCGATATGAGCTTTTATAACCTCAATTATGATAGAGGAAAGTTCTTTCACCATATCTTCAATAGTAGCTGATAGTGGTTGATAGTGGCAAAATTTTAGAATTAATATCTCGCTTTATCGAACAAAGAAACGCTTTTTTTAGATAGATTCTTTTCGGATAAAAACGCATTGAAGTGATATAATTTTATCGATTTTTTAGCTGGTGGAACTAAACATTATCTTTATAATAATAAAGATCCTCTCTAATGACAAAAATAACATAAAATTAGTTCTTTGTTTAATTAAACATATGTGGTGACAAAATGAATCATTTATTACATACGGTTTTATTTTTGTTTATCATTACAGTAAGTAATAGAAAATATAACTTTGTATTTGTACATAACAAACTGATCGTGTATCTGAATTTTATTTTCAAAGTATCTCATATTTTTCTTATTTTAAAACATAATTTATACATATATATCATAAATAAAAAGTAAATTACTGTGAAATTTGTCGGAATCATATCAATAAATATTAATAATTAATTTTATAGATGGACATTGCTGTCGCAGAGTTTTCGGCAGATGATTGTAAGATGTTGGGATTTAATAAAGCCAATGTGCTCTGCTCGACCTGCAAACATTTTGCTGAATCTGATCTAGAAAAAATTTAGTATGTAAAAATCTATTCCATCAAAAATTATTAGTCTCCAGAGTATAAATGTATCTCCTTTTTCATTTCTAGTACTACATGTAAGGAATGTTGTCTAAAAGATAATGATTATGAATTGTCTGGATCAAAACGTTATCCCAAAGCTATCCTTGAAGTATGTACGTGCAAATTTGGACAATATCCACAAATACAAGGTATCCTACAATCCACTTCTGATAAAAGTAATATAATATTTAACTTCAAATTCAATATAAATCCATATCTACTACATTTCTTTTAGCTTTCATCAAAAGCGACCGACCAAAAAAGTATAAGAATCTCAACATAAAATATGTAAGAGGTTTAGATCCGATCATTAAGTTGTATGATGCAGAAAATAAAATTGAAGATGTACTCGATATACACAAATGGGATACAGACTCTGTAGATGAATTTCTGTCGACTCATCTTTCTAAGGATTAAAATTAGGAATTATTACATTACATAATTGTTTCTATTGAACTCTTAATAAACTAATCTTTTAATATGAATATTACATATACAGTACATATATGATTACGCTTTATTTTCTAATATTGTATGTATTCATATTGCCTATATTTGTTATCTCTAATCATATAAATTCTTTTTTTAACCATTCAAATCTTAATATAATCTCATGTTTCGATTTTTTCAAAAATGTAGCACATTTTTTAAATAGATACAAAAAGATCTTTGTTTCATCAAAATGTTCATCTTTACATATAACGAGATCACAATTGATCTGTTTCTTCATACATGGAAACATTATTCTTTTATTAAAAATAATAACACTCATGCATACAATTAAAAATAAAATACAAAATTGAAAATTTATAACATTATCATTTTCAGTATCTCTTGAATATATAAATGTTACAATGAAAAATCATTAATGATCTTTTAAATCGAATTAAATAAGGGGATGCATTTATTTTGTTTAGGAACATAATAAGGTTAGAAATTCTTGTATAGCCTTTATCATTTATATTAATAAATGATATAAGAATATTCTTATGGATATATATTGTGTATGGAAAACAAAGAGACAAATACCTAAATTTGACATTATGTATTTCGATTACGTATATCATATTAGTTGTGTTTAGAATTCCATGGAGTTTCTTTTTTACATTTAAAACAACGTCCTTTTTCTTGGTATCATGTACACAACTTCTAATTATTTAGTGACATAATATTTATCATTTGTGTGTGTATGTGTATTTGTGTTTGTACGTGTGTATATAGTCAGCAATGATTTTAAAATATGATATAGAGCGTATTCGATTTACTGATTCGATCCGATTTCAAGTCAATGATCTGTTCTTTTTAGCTGCATTTCTTGCACAATTCAGTTCTTTTTTTGCAGCTAGACAGAACAGATCATTGACTCAAAGTCGGGTTGAAGCAGTAAATCGAATACGCTAATAGAAAGGTTATCATGATTGTAGCTAAAGAGAAGAGCTCATCATTTATATAAAAAAAAAAAATTCTGAATCTCTCCATGGTGCTCATGCAGTAAGGGAGCGTTTATATTGGCCGTAACCGTAAGAATCAACTAATCACGATCAAGTATTCCCCTCTCATTCAACTGTAAGAAGGGAATACTCGAAGGTGATTGGCCAATTTTTATACAACATACGGTTAGTTATGATATAAGACAAGGTGTATTATTTCCGGGGATGCGTAGTAGGAGAGTGAATTTGAGGCCAAAATTTGATTGGCTATTCTAATATACCAGCGCTATTATACGCAGGGAAATGCATAGAGATTAAAATTTGAATGATATCGCCATTATGTGCAATGGTACACCTTATATTCTTACATCATAACGGTTACAGTCAATGTAAACGCTCCCTAAGTTGTTTATAGTTATGAACTTATAATTAAGAATTTCCTAGCAAACAAGCTATCTATCGTCACTGATGTCAAAGTGACATTTTTAACGTCAAAATAACGATAAAACACATTAGCTTGTTTGCTCTGAATTACCATCAATTATCATGTACAATCTTGGTCAAAAATATTAGGCACTTTATTAACCATTATATAAAGTTCAAGTTCAAAAATTGATTTATGTCATTTGTTGTTTAAATAAACTCTTAATGCACATGCGTAGCCCATTTTCACTTTACGTGCCTTTTACGACTATTTACTGATTGTAAGGGAGAAGGACGGCTCATAAAGTGTTTTAAAACAATCTTATTTTCTTTTTTTTTACCCAAATTCTCTTTATTTATAAATGGCATACAAAAAATTTCAACATACCATTCTTCACTTATGATGTCAGATTCAATGTGGTCACAGCAGCCACTCGAGAGCTTAAGAGGATGCCTTTGGATAGCGATAATGTAGCTTTTTGCCTAAAGCGAAAATGTACTGTTCGAATAGCTACTGTGGCCACAGTCAATCTGACATCACAAGCGATGAATGACATGTTGAAGTTTCTTGCATGCCATTTGTAAATATATATATATATATATGATTGATGAAATATTAATTTCTAAAGATTGCCGAATCACATAATGCTATTCCTGATAACAAATTGAATCAAAAAGTCCTCTACAATTTTACAATTTTCATGATAATGATTGGGCAGCCGGATACGCGCTTATTCGCAATATTTAGAAATTAATATTTCGTCAACCATTGTGAAAATTGCAAAATTGTGGAAGACTTTTCGGCTCAATTTTTAATTAGGAATAATGCTATATGATTAGTGTCCGCTATTTAAAAAACACCCTCTATATGTGTCTACATCATACATACATACATACGTATATACATAAAAATTTTCACGATTCTACTCTAAGATTAGATGATCGCTACCTTGAGTTCGTATTCTGTAACTCGTTAACGACAGCGTATTTTATAGTATAAAAAGTTACTGTCTTAACGAGTTACAGAATATGAACTCAGGATAGCGATTATCTAATCTTAGAGTAGAATCGTGAAAATTTTTATGTATGTATGATGTACATATATACATATACAGGGTGTTTCTTAAATAGCGGACACTAATCATATAGCATTATTATAGACAGTAACGACATCGTTGCGCAGATATTTTATAGTATAAAAAGCTACGCAACAATGTCGTTACTGTTTTAATTTACAGAATAGGGTACCTGGAGTGGTCAAATTATCGAGACATTACAGTCGTATAAAAAAATCTCCGAATTGACTGAATGGAATACAAAATCCTTTTACAGGGTTAAAGTAGACACAAAATTAGAAGATGGTGTATACTTTAATCTAAAATCGAAAAAAGTTAAAAGCTTACTTATTTTTCAACTCCTAGAGCTGTCACGTAGACGTTACAATCTTAATACAACAGTTTTATGGGTCCTTTGGACAAAATAACATTGCATCATTCGTTCGATTATGTGAACGAACAATATTGTGTTTATAAAACTAAGATTAAAAGCTTAAAAAAAGATTTTTATTGATCTGCAAATTTCATGCATACGTGTATGCTTAGCGAAGACTCGGAATAATAAAGAAAGCAGTAATTGTGACTAGTAGTTACTCGATCTTGCAAAAAAACGTTGCAATATGTTAAATAAAGACAGATATATGCATTTGAGTAAGATAGAATAATAATGTAAGAATGGAATTAAAAATGTCACTATTACCGACATTTTTAATTTGGAACTTAAAAAGTCTTCAATCGACATCGATCGGCCGACGCTGCAGCAAACAATATAATTTCTGATTAATAACAAGAATATAGGTGCCTGATATTTTGACCAAGGGTATATGTTCTGTTATAATGTTAATGTTAATATAATGTGCAATATTAATATGTATATTAATATCCCACGCTTCGATGATAAAAACGTGTTCTATTCATTAAAACTTATTCGAATGAATATGAGATACGGAATTAAATTTTTCTTATGTCAACGTTATTTTTTCACGTTTACTTTCATATTTCCATAAATCGCGGCATTATCTTATCGCCGGGATCTCCTGGCACGCGGACCACCGCGACCGCGTACGAATCCGCGACCTCTAGGTTGTTTCATTTGAGGACTATGATTTCGTTCTATCTTCGGTACAGATTTTTCAGGTTCGGCATGTTCTTTTTCATCCGCCTCATCGATCAGGTTACCCATTTCAATATCATTGTCATTATCCATATCTGCCCACACTTCGTCAACTGAAGGTTTTACATCCTGTGTATTAGTAACGTTTTCCACAGCGGTCTCTTTCGTATTCTCTTCCGCTTCGCGATTTTCCTCCTCCTCCGATTCGGCAGCATCGGCTTCCAATGGATCATACTTTTCCTCTCCGTCCGATCTTTTCGGTGTCACATTTACATTATCAGCATTATTCTCTTGCTGTTCCTTCGGCTTGTCATTATCATCATTTTCATCATGACTAATCTTGCGACGTTTCCAATGTACATCACATTCCTCCTGAACTTCAACATTTTTCTCATCATTCTGTAAACACAATACAAGAATTTTATAAGATTTTGAAAACAAGTTTTCTTTATTTTTACGAGATATAATTACGTCAGTTTGTTCAATCTCTTTCGGCTCTGTAGCTGGCACGTTCAATGTTAATGACTTTACTTCTGCCACAAAATTCCGATAGTGCGTGATGCTGCGTAGATGAGCGTTCATATCTTCAGCTAAGAGCATGAACCTTCGGCAACGCTCGCAATAAAATCCTTGGACTTCCTTGACCATAGATTTACCTGTGTAAATATAATTTCTTGTAAAATTAATACAAAAGAAATGCGCGTATATTTACTTTTTTTACTTCATGTACATTACAATTATATTTTTCCAATTTTATATAATCCATACCAATAAAGATATGATTTTGACGGCAATATTTGTAAGACGGTATCTTGAGTTTCTTCTCAGTTAAATTTTCTATAATATCTGTGATGTATTCTTGTTCTCCTGAATCCTCTTCTTTTTCGTTCTTTGAGTCATGACATACATCTTTCTCCTCGTCTTCTGCAGTACGAACCTCGGCCTCTCCCTTTGCCAGTTTTTCTACAAACAATTTTTATCAATTACAAATTCTCTTCGAAATATTAATTCGCAAACGTTTTCTTTCATTCATTTTCTTCACTACCTTTCTTTTTATTTTTCCGTTGTTCCTCGCATTGAACGGCATTCTTCATATGAGCCGGTGTTAAACAGTGCTCGTCATATTCTATGCGAGACGGAAATTCTTTTAAACAAGGAAAGCATCGAGGATGCAAGAATGTTTTCAATTGTTGATGCTTTTCGCTCTTCCTATGTGTAGATAAGGTTCCATAAAAGTTCAGATCGCACATCGTACAATATTCTCTCACATTGAAATCTACAGAGACCTTTTATAATCAAGAAATTATAAATAAATACAAATACTCTTACTATTAAATCTGTATATACATATATTTTTAACTCTTCTAGGAGATATAATTCTTACTTTTTTGCCGCGTCGTTTCGAGTTGTTCAAGCTAAGCTCACGTTGTTCCTCGGCAACTCGTAGCTCGTGTCTCATCAAATCGACTTTCAATTTGTACGATTCATCCAACTTTTCCATCATCAGTTGATGCGCACGTCCGCGTAAATGATTTTCGAAGGACTGTAAAAAAATATAAAAATTAATGAATTCTCGGCGATTACATAGAAGATTTGGTAATTTCATCGATGATGCATACAAATCCATCCCACATATGCTTATTGCAAATATGACAAAACATATGATTCATCGGAACTTCGGAGTAACGACTTTCAGCGTGTCTAACTTCCGATTTCTTGCCAGTCGTTTTCATGTTCTCTTTTTCAATTTTCTCAGACGTATCCTTTGCTTCTTTCGTAGAATCTTCAGCCGACTTCTCCACGTTTTTCTCGCTATCGTCCATTTTTTCATCTTCCATTTTTTCAATTTTCACTTCTTCCGTGTTTTTCTCATCCTTCCAATCGCGCTTCTTATCTTCAGACTCATCTGCATCACTGCTGTTTACATTATAAATAATCTAAGATAAAATTTATGTTCCAAGAAAAGTTTTGTAATCAATTTAAACAACTAAGTATTAAACTTGTTATGAAAACTTTAACTTCTAATTATATAAATTTAATTATATAGTTTTGTAAGTCAAAATATTTATCTCGATTCATATAAAATCCCTTTACGAATAAAAAAATTATACCGATATAGAAGTGTATAAAAAGATGTAATACATACATCTTATTAGAATCTAAAGTATATTATCACCGATTGGAACAATATACGTCAAAATACATTTTGATGTATGTACAGGGAGAAGAAATTACGAAAAGCAACAGCAAAATTTCATTGCACTCTGACCAATGTCTGTGAAATATAAGTTGAATTGCATTGACGGTATAGGATAAATATATAAAAAGAAAGATATAGATAAAAGAGAAAAATTTTTTTCTGAGACTAATACAAAAACATATGTAGCTAATATTAAGAAACGTATATAAAATATATGTATATGTATATATGTATTTAGGCAAATAATCTGGAGAGACTGAAGACTTACTGAAATTTGAAGAAACTATACCAATCACAGGTAATCGGGAGCTTACCTTTTCGGAACAGGCGGTTCTGCTTTTTCGCTATCAGAGGTCTTAACATCCTGCTGTTCCTTTTTGGCAGTCTGATTTTGTTTAGAGGCAGGAATTGGTTTAGAAGATTTATCGTTGCGATGTTGTATTTGGTTTCCGTTCATACGTTGACTGCCAGACTGGGGTGCACGAGATTGTTGTGCGGATGGGCCACGTCGCCCAGCGGGGCCATCTCGGGCTCGATTGCCCATCTAGTTAAGTAGTAGAGGTCAAACGACCAAAAGCATCATGAGAAGTATCTGACGTAACTGTGAGTCTTCTCAAATCGAGATACTGGTTCTAGAAACCACTTTGAGATTTGAGGTAGAGAACAGTTCTACAATCGATAAATGGAAACAGGACGGAGCTGGTAAAATACCGAAGCTCTTTCTTCCATTTCCACACCAAGTATGGAAGGAAAAGGAGAAAACTGTAGAGTGCATCCCGATTTCAAGTTGAAAACGCATTGTATATATACAGGCGCGATCGCAATGATCATAAGATACGATCATAATTATGAAAAGTAGACGTGATTTTTTACCACTAAAAATACTTGGTGAATGCTAATAAACGTGAAGAAATCAAGTGAAAAATGCAACTCGTGTATACAAGTGGTAGTATTTTGAATAAAGTGCAACCACATTGATTTTAATATCACATTAGTGGACAGAAGACTTTGGTTACACAGATTGTAATGTGAGGCAATATACAAATTCAGTCCTGCAAAAACCTGCTTCAGTGAACTTCCAGTAGTAAATTGAGATTTACATTCTGAAATCAACACGTTTTTCAACAGTGCTCTTTTAATGAAATATTTTTATGGATGATATTTAGAAGCCGTTTCAGACAAAGCTGATCCATCAACAAGAATTATTATATCTTAGTGATTTCGCCAGCCGTGTCTAATTGAGTGAGCGATATATCCTATATAATCGATTGGTTTAAGAAAGGGAATTTATAACGTTCGGAATAGTTAAAGACAGTTTGTGTCCATGCGAAAAAGCGTGGACTACAGATTGTCATTTTATAACTCCTGTTTACGATACAGAAGAAAATCGTAAGCAGGTGTCAAAAGAATTGTTTTAAAGATTACCTTGGTTTGTAAAAAAAAGTGACATATTCTATAATCAAAATTTCTTACCTTGTTGTATGGCTGAGGACGTTGATTCTTCATGGGATGCCGTGCCGGTCGATCGTTAGATCCAAACCGTCCGGAGGAATAATTCTGCTGAGTGGGATAATTTGGTCCAGGTCCAGAATAATTATTTCCCAAGCTCATAAGAGATGGTACCTGCTTTAAAATAAATGAGTTAAATGAGTTCAGTTAAATGAGTCCACTAGGATTCTCTAACGTCTTATTGGCGATCGTCGCTATTGTTAACTAGCGATAGCCAATGACAAGGATCCTGGAAAAAAGCATGGCTTTCATTGACTGTTGTTAATTAACGATAGCAACAATTGCCGATAAGATATTAAAGAGTTCTGCTACTGGGCATGAAAACTGAATTATTAAGTGGAAACGATTCTCTTACCTGTGGCTGCGCCTCTTGCTGACTACGGAGTAAATTTGTAAGGAGGTTGCTGGCGATTGCTAGTTGTGCCTGCGGCGATGCCAAGGAAAGATTGTTGTTGGGTGTAGGCAGGATGCCTCTGCCAGGCATCATGCCACCCTCCCAGGGATTCATTCCACCCATACCACCACTCCCACTTAGTCCTCCGCCCATGTTACTTCCCATGCCACTGTTATTGCCAACTCTGTTACCACCGCCTCCGCTAACACCCCGATTGAAAGTCCCTCGATTAAAGGAATCTCTTTTCACTCCACGATTATATGCCATTGTGCTCCTAATGCTGACCAACATTTAAAAATAACATATTAATCTTGAATATATCCTTATTCAAAAAGCAGCCAATCTATGCAGGATATTCTGCAATGATTTTTGAAAAATTTAGTCTTTTATTTTTTATTTTCTTTTTCTTTCTCTTTTTTACAAAAATGATAATTATTGTAATAATTATGTTATATGGATTTTTCAATGATTAAATTTTAATAATAAATAGATATACTCTGCGTGCATACATCTTGTTAACATAATAATGAAAAATTAATAGAAGCGAAATTCTAAAATAAAATCTGTTCTCCAAAGCAACAATAAAATATCACATCACTATACACACATGTATACATATGTATACATGTATATATATATATATATTACATATACATATATATGTGCGCGCGCGTTGTGTATGCACACGTGTGCTGCGTGTAAAAATAAAATTTGTTCTATAAATTATTATTACACACAAATAGAAAAATCTCATAATATAAAAAATACAAGACACATGTACTACGAGTGCGTTCCGTTTTAACGCTCACACGCTGTAAACAGTTCATTCTTGCTATGAAATATTACAACAAAGACAAATGATGCTTATAAATGCTATAACCGCAAAAAGGAACACATCTTATTTTGTACCAAAGCCTCGCGAAACGACGTGGCGGATAATAAATGTCTGACCGAAGCAATTCTAAAATACGATCGATCGTGGAAACGGATTTTCGCATACACGATACTCAGTGAAGGAATCGATAAACAAGCTCCGATTTACCGAGATACTAATTCATGTTACGGTAAAATTTTTTTTTTAAAGTTTTCTTACCAAACCGATGACACTACGTGTGATATGAAGAAAAGTTGACAAGAAAGATCACATCAAGCGAAACGAAATGCAAACGAACGCAGCGAACAATCGCAAATGGCGGATTCTCTCCGATTATGAATTGTGGAATTAAGGAAGACTATCCATAAAGGTATCGTAAAGGTGCATCCACATGCAAGCGTCAAGCAGCGGAAGCAACAACTAATCAACGAGGCGATTTTTACAGTAGCGTAAAAAATATTTTTTTTTACACCACTGCCCGTATAGCCTAGCTAATTGGTTGCTGTTTCCGCTGCTTGACGCTCATTTTCAGCGTCAAAACAGGTTACGTGATCAAAATTGAGGGTGCCGTCACATGCGGCGTAATTTGCGTAAGCGTAACCTACATATTCTAGTAATTACTAGATAGAATATACGTTACTCCAGTCTGAAGACTGGTAATCACATAGGATATATTTCGCGGAAGATTAGAGAAATGCAATTGCTGATTAGAATTTCTGTACACTCTAACAGAAATACATGCTAAACGAATTTATGATTGGTTTTCGTAACTTACGCATCTCGAAAAATACACCTCATGGCCTAAGGATGTCGTCACAAGCGGCGTAACTTACGCCGACAAGCATAACTTGTGCCGACCAATCATATCATTTCACTTGAACATCAGTTTCTGTCTAGTCACTTTATGCTTTTTACGCTATTTTGTTGTTACGCCGAAACATGATGGAATCCAATCATGCGTCGAATCCAATTTCTGGTTTATTTGAACTTATTCTGTCTGAAAAAATACATATGGGTTTCGATTTTATAACAGTACAATTATAGATCTCATTTTGCTTTTGTGACAGATTTTCTAACTTCCATAGTCATCCACTTTAACGCTAATATTTCAGATTATAGGACAGAGAAACGCTTTTTTTTGCCAAATTCTTTCGTTTAATGCAAAAACGCGTCGAATAAGTTTAAGAGTAATCTCATAAAACTTTTCGATTTTAATAATTCATTCAATCATCCGCTCATATGTACGCGATGGAAAGGTACCGATTCCCCATAAGGCGTACGTTTCGAGATGCGTAAGTTACGAAAACCAATCGTAAATTCGTTTAGCATTTCTGTTAGAGTGTATAACAGAAATTCTAATCAGCAATTGATCGCATTTCTTTAATCTTCCGCGAAATACGTCCTATATGAATGCTAGTCTTCAGAGTGGCGTAACGTATATTCTATTTAGTAATTACTAGAATACGCAAGTTATGCTTACACAGATTACGCCGCATGTGGCGGCACGCTGATGCAGGGTATTCGTCAATTTTGATCACGTGACCTGTTTTGACGCTCGAAACGAGTGTTGAGCGTCAGCATGAAAATGCAACCTTACGTTACTTTGAGCACCCGATATATTTAGGGCCGGTTGTTCCATCTTTTGATAAATTTTATTTGTTGGGTAAGTAGCAAAATTAGGCAATCACATGCGTGGATTGACAGATTTACCTAACAGGTAAAATTTACTAAAAGGAATAATCAGGCCTTAGAGCTTTATTTTTCCTGTAGCCGCAAAATGCTTCCGCGCATTACTGCCCTCTGAAGAAATTAACTACGTAACAATATCCACTTTTTGCGGTGCTCCTGATGAAAATAAATTATTGAAATCGTTGAAATCTCAATTAATTTAAATAGATTTTAATTATTTCAACGATTTATTTCCATCAGGAGCATCGCAAAAAAAATGGATGTTATGTAGTTGACATCTACTTCTTCAGAGGGCGGTAGTGCACAAGTATTTTGCGGTTACAAAAAGGCCCTCATATCCTCTTTCAGGTTTCTCTCTGGTGTCTCCGGCTGTCACTAGTCACCTAATGTCAATTAATGCTGATATTAGCATTATAAGCCATATTAGCTTAAGGCCTTCACTCTACACGCTGTATATAAATCTTTTTTTCACGCGTCGGTCATTTATACTGAACTTTTAGGTAAATATTTATTACTTATTATTTCATCTTACTAAACTTATTTGGCTGTATACATAATTTTTTTAGGATGCGTTCCGAATTACGCACAAGGCGCATGATGCATCATTTGTCCTCGTTCACTGAAGAATAAAACAGGATAAAATGATATCTTATGCACTTAATGCGTAATTCGGAATAACCCTTAAAAAGATTTCTATGCAATTTTCTCATTTGCGAATATTTACGGAAGAGTACTTTTATATTTGTGCAATTTTCTCTGTTGTAATTAAAAATTTTAATCGCCGCCTTATAAAATACATCCGCATTCATAACTGTTTTGATATTTTTTTCTGCAGCCGCGATTACCTTTTTGTAATAGAATGAAATTATTAATGTTTTGAGTGGTGCTATTTTGAAGTAATGATATTGTTCATTGTGCACAAAGAACATTGTGCTTATGCTATATTTATAGAGAAAATCAATATCTTTGATTTTTACGCATACATACATGTCCAATAGAGCTTGTAAGATTTCTTATGACACAAAGTATATTTTTTATTTTTTAATACATGTGTACGATAATGATATAAAAATAATTTTTATTTTTTTTAGCAAACATACTGTGTCTTTAGAAAAAAAGAAAATGAGAAACGGCAGCAAATTGTTAAAAGTTCTTTTACAAGCGTCAGAGAAGGCAGCAAATATTGCTAGAATTTGTCGACAAAAGGAAGCTCTTTTTCAATTGTTAGTACAAGAAAAATCTTTAGAAGAGAAAAACCCTCGTTTTTTTCAAGATTTCAAAACGTTAGCTGACGTTCTTATTCAAGAAACTATCAGACATGACATAGAAATTGAAGTGAGTATAAAAGTATCTTAAATATGGAAGTACAAAATGCTGGAAAAATATCTTAATATCAACTTATTTCCAATGTAAAACTTTTAATTTATTGTCATAAACAGTTTCCAGAGTTGGCCAAGATAGTACAAGGTGAGGAAACCAATGTATTCAGCAATACCTTGGGAGAATCTATTATTGTTGAGATCTGTTCATGTAGCAAAGATACGACACAGCTACTGACAAAAGTTATGGGCAATGATGCTGTGGCAGCAGAGTTGCTTGCTGCCGAAGTCCATAAAGACGTTCAGCTTTCAGATGTGCCAATCACATTAGATATTCCCAATGATTTTGATGTCAATATAGAAGACCTTGGTATTTGGATAGATCCAATTGGTAAGTATACAAGTAAGAACAGTAATTCTAGATTATTACATTCAATTGATATTAGATTTAAATTTACATTAATTCAGGACAAGACTGAAAAAAAGACAAAAGTTGGACAGTATTATGGTAAAACATAAAGCTATGTCTCTCTTGTTAAGAATCATAATTGGCCTGTAAACTGAGACACAACACTTGTAAGAATTTTTGTTTGTTTTATAGTTTGATAAAATGCATGCCTGTGGAGCAATTCGTGGAACTTTTGTAGATTCAACAGCAGATTACATAAGTGCAATGGAGACAGTAGATGAACAGACCGGTTTATATTTGAGTGGGTTACGTTGTGTTACTGTCTTAATTGGAGTCTACAAAAAAAGTACTGGAGTACCAGTTCTGGGTGTAGTTAATCAACCTTTTTGCACCAATATAGACTCACAGTAAGTATATAGAATAGAAACAATAACAAGATTTAGAAACAAGATAGTATATTTATTAATATGTGTGTATATATGTATTTTTTAAATAAATTTATCTCAGAAATATGACTGCGCGCTGATTACTTTTGGATTTTCAGTACAATTAATCTGAAATTTTAATAATCCTGAGTTTAATAAGAAATATTTAACCTGTAAAAAAATTTATTGCCTTGGCCAAACATTGAAATTAGATCTCTAATTCCGTGTGAGCATTCTCATAATTAGACTACTGAGGCCTTCTTCACAGATTTTAAGATGTTTCTTATTAAATTTAGGAGGGGATTATTAATATTTCAGATTTATTGTGTTGAAAGTTTGAAAGTAACTGGCACACAGTTATATTTCTGAGATAAATCTATTTAATACATTGAGTATACATTGACCTAAA